GATATCAAAAAAGTACTCCAGAGTGTTGTTCAGCATGGGGGTGAGTAGAAAATGAAGGCTAATCATGTTTTGGGTGTACTATTCCTTTAACTATACATGTAAACAGTTTTATGGGCCCCCCAAGAATTTGGGGCCCTATGCACTTGCCTAGTACTGCCTAATGGTAAACCTGCAGGGTGCAACTGGAAACTAGATATTGCTTTACTTTTTGGGAGTTTCCTCGCTTTATATTACTTAAACTAAGATTAGATCTGTGAAACTTATAAACCAAAGCAGTAGAAGATTAATTATTCTGATCTACTTTTACAGATTTTAATAAAAGGTTGGAAACGTTTCCTGCTGAGGTAAATATCTGCAGAGAAAAAGTTGTTTAAAAATGCTGGATTCCCACAGCATAAGGTTTAAACATCCTTTAAAACTATTCAGTTGTAATACTGATATAATAATATAAGAGGAACTTGGGTGTTTATGAATGTATGATGATGATTTTGTTGAAGTGTGTATTTTAAATGTATTTTTTCCTGCTCTAATGATCCACTGTTACCTGTTTTGAGTGCTGTTTTCTCCATGAGTTTTGCTTTCGCTCTCATCATCTGATCTTGGGCTGTTTGAGCCATGGTCGTGGTCATTGTGCATCATCTCCTCCCCTTCCCTGCTCTCCATCTTTAACTCCAGGTTACTCTGGACTCCACCTGTGCAATATCAAAGCATAATGAAATAGAATCATCTGAAAAAAGGACTAAAAGGTCAATCGTTTGGTTGATTTTCTGGGAGGATTTCCTCTACCTCCTCCTGTCCCTTGCATAAACACGGCCCTCTGCCTGGGAGGGTATGGATGGCCATTTTGAGCTCTGCTCTGGAAGGCTGAATGATTGTTGTTCATGGAGACGGCTTCCACCTTAAAGAATCACAGAGACAAAGATCAGTTCAATGGATCCGGTTATCGTTTGTGTTTTAAACCGTTAAGAATTAAGCTAAACTTATTACTAAACAATAATGCACATCTGGAGATGCACTCAATGCTTTGCATGGATATTTACAACTTTTGATCTTTTTTCATATTTTGTCACATTGCAAGAGCAGACATGGAGCATTCTGCTGCAGTTTTACATGAGGTGCCAAAGTAATGCATGCTTGTTAATTTGATTTCTCTTACAAATGAATATCCACTACATGTCATACTCCCAATCCTGGGTGCAGGCCGGGTTTTTCCTTTTTTTTTTTTCTCTCTGCAGGGCTGGACGGGCAGGTGCTCCTCATCAATCTGATTCCCACCTTTTTTAAGGAGCTGGAACCAGGAGGAGGGCGTCAGTTTAATGCTCCAGCGTTGGTACAACTGATCCTGAACCGAGCCTAGCTCCTTAGCTTTGCCTGAATCTAACCCTGTCCTCTCTGCTCCTTCTTCTAGAAACCAGGATCCAAAGCCCTGAAAGCATTCCAGAGACCTCTTCGCTTTGGACTCCCGTTAGAGGCGTTTTCAGTCAGCCTCTAAGAACCAGTGAGGCTTCGGGCCTCAGAACCATAAAAGCCCTCCTGCCTGAGCTCACCTGCCTGTCCACCCTCAGACACCACCATCTGATCTCACCATTCGCCTGGACCACTGGTCACCATCCTCACAAGACAGATGCCAAGCCGCCCTCTCTGTGAGTCTCACACATCCCTCATTCTTCAACCAGCACCGAACTGTTGCTCACCTGTCACCAAACCTCTTCCAGCAGTATCCTGACAACCCTGCCTGCCGGACTTCACTCTGTACAACCACAAACCTTCAATAAAACCCAACTGATCCTTGCCTCTGTGATTGCTCCTATTCAGAGTCTGAAAACCAAAACATAACACTACATGCCTATTCCCCTAAAATCTGGTAAAATAACATTCACTGCCATTAAAGCTGCGAGCTTCAGGTCATCAGAGTCAAAAAATTAACTTTTTTGGCCTCTATGAATAACTCTGTATGCAGTGTCATTGATTCCTGTACATTAGTCTGAAATGAGAACCCCCACAGTGAAACATGGTGGTAGCAGCATCATACTGTGGGGAGATTTTACTGCAGCCATTTTGCAGTTTTAATTGTGGTAAAAGGTTGGTGAAAATTCCATTTATGTGTAATAAATTCAAGAGTAAGACACTGCACGTCCTAAATGATCTGTTTTAGTCCAGGAAACCAGGAGCAGATCTCCTGCTCCACAAATATTTAAATTCCAGACAAGTTTAATCCCTTTACTAAACCACTGTATGCCCTTTAAATGCCCCAGGATAGTGAGAGAATTTAATACACCCTACGGATTACGCTAAATACCCCCCTTCCCCTGTACATGGTGGGCTTCCACTCTAGCTGGGCTAAAATCCCACTGTCTGCTAAAACAGACATGTTTAAAAAGGAGGGGGCAATGCAGAATTACACTGGAAAAAATCTAAATCTAGATCAGTCATTTTTTTCTCAAAATAAGTGCATTTGTTCTTGAATTGAGGAGGTAAATGAGACATTTTACCAATGGAACAAGACAATTTACATTTAAAATAAGAAAACACAATTGCATTGTCTTATTTCAAGCGCATTTTATCTAAATATTTTATTCTAAGAGTAGAAATACTCATTCCATTGGCAAATCATCTCATTTACCTGCTCAAATTAAAAGTGAATTCACCTAATTTAAGAAAATTTTACTTATTTCTAGATCGTTTTTCCAGTGTACAGTCTAAAAAACCCTTTTTACACTTCTTAATCCTTTAAAGTAATGTTTGTTAACCATAGTCGG